TATTCCCATTGAGTCTTATTCTTGGAAGGAGGTTTACTTTGAGGGTACCCGACCCCTTGCCTTGATGTCTCCTAGTCGAGCAACTTGCTTGTTCTTGTAGTAATCAGTCAGTCTGCCTATATTGTTTTGTATTTTTCCTGTCAGTCCTTCTTTCAAGAGATATCTTCTGTTCTTCTAGCCACTCCAGGCTGGTCTGCCCGTCCTTTCAAGAGGAAATTTCTCACCTCTGAAGAATCTGTTCAGGATTCCACCTATAGTCTTATGCAATGCAGAGGCTCTGCTGGAAGCCTCCTTCACTGGGTACGTAGTAGCCCCATTTTAAGTATTCCAATCAGTTATAGGCAGAAGACAGACTTACAAGCTTTCTATGGTGATATTTCTGGCTATTCCTTTCTATCCCGTTCCAGTGTCTATTTTATAATGTAATGCAAAGAAAACCAAGATTCAAAAGACAGCCAAGCATCTTAACATTATTTCCCCCCTTGTCCCCATTCCAACCATGTCTCAATCCCTGTATCCCAGACCCTTGTTGTTCCAAAGTTGTGCATACATCATTATTTATCTCTGTCCCACTTAGCCCATGCAAACCTGCCTAATTGTTCTCCAATGATATATTTTTTAAATTAGAAATTCATACATGGTTTTGTTGGCTTTTAATACTTAAACAGAAACAAACCCAACCCATATTGCCAAGTTGCTTTTGCCTCACAGCTGCCGTACAGTTTCTAAGCTGTAATCTTTACAGACACAAATGCGACATCTTTCTCCCTTGGAGCAGCTGATGAGCTCTAAACACTAACTTCTGTTTAGCAGCCAAGCACTTAACCACTGCACCACCAGGGCTCCTTTACTACAGGTTCATTTAATTCTGCTGTATAAACTATAGGTGGTTATTTGTTCATGAAGCTTCCATTATTCATTTGCAAAACATAAAAATAATTTTCATATCTGCCTAGGGCTTTATTATTCTGTTTTGGGAATAAACACAATCTTCCTGCTTAGTGTCTTTGTTATCATAGTTTCAAATCAACAGGTGTGTTGATTGAAATTAGGTTTAATTAAAGTCATCTGAGAGAGATGTTTAATTATTACAGAGTAATTTCACAAATAATCAGATAACCATAGTAAGACAACTTATAAACAAAATTGCCAGAGAAAAAAATCAACTCATTGACAAAATTCTGAAATGCAAGACTAAAATGAAGTGATATAGAATATATTCTTCATGGTATACTGCCACCAAGTAGGTAGGACATTTGTTTTAAAATCATATGGTAGCATTTTTCATTATAAAAGCAGTAACTATTAATGTTGTTGTTAAATGCCATCAAGTCGGTTCTGACTTATAATGACACCGTATAGGATTTCCAAGGAGCAGCTGGTGAATTTGAACTGCCAACCTTGCAGCTCTAACCACCCTGGAGGTTGAGTGCTTTTCCTAGGTGCCCCCCCCACACACATACACTAACAGGAAAGCAAGAGAGAAAGAGAGAGTCACCTCTAATCCTATTCCCTCAAATCCTTCTTCACAGAAGAAAGACTTAGCAATCTGTTTCTAAAGCCAACTGTTGGAAACTCTAAATCACAATGGTCCAATCTGCAACTGATCCTGGGAATAGCCCTGAGAGCTTTCCGTTCTGTTGTGCGTGGAGTGCCTGGAGTTAGGGGCTCACTCCACAGCAATTAACAACCACCAGTACCTTCTATCCAATTTTTCATCAAGTATTTTAACACAAAAAAATACAAAAACATTCACAACCACAGAACAACACACACACAGACATAGAATCTTACCACAGAAAGACATCGCTTATATCAGTTGTAATCATCAGTGTATATCTTATTTCATTATTTGCTTAATATCTGTGGTATTATGTCTGTAATGAGACAATCAGTTCCTGCAACAGAATGTTAAATCTATACCTAGAATCCTGGTGTGGTGCTGTGAGTTAATGTGCTGGACTACAAAGTCAGTTTGATTTGCTCCTCAAAAACCCTACATAGGGTCACTAGGGATTAGAACCGACTTGATGGCATTTCACAATAACCCTGGTGGATTAACACACTGGACTGCAAGGTCGGTTTGAACCACAGCTTGGCTATTCAAGCTCACTAGCTGCTCCTAGGAAACCCTATACAGGAGTCTCTATGGGTTAGAACCCACTCAACAGCACTTAACAACAACAACACCCTGGTGTGGCACTGTAGGATAAGCACATGACCTCAAGGCTGATTTGAACAGCAAGGTCGGTGATTCAAACTCATCAGCTGCTCCTTGTGAAACCCTATACAGGATCACTATGGGTCAGAACCTACTCAATGGCACTTAACAACAACAACAAAACAACAA